TTGTGACAGTATGGCCAAATTGTGCTGCTTAGATAAACAGATTGTTAAATCTATTCCAAAATAAATTAACTAAATAACTCATACAGTGGGACTGCCCTACCTGCAGTTTCAGGAACCATAGTCCGGAAAAAAAAGGAACATTCCAGAAATAAACAATTCCTAATTTCCAAACGGCGCACCGAGTGAGTACCGGCTGTAACATGGTGAATTCTGCCGGCCCAGTTGTACCCAGTATATGACTCCCTTTGTTCCCATACCCAAGCTTCCCCACAGAACCCTCATCCAGCCTGCATCCAGCGTTACTGCTCATCGCATTCATTGCCGCATTTTCACAGTGTCTGTGTTATAAAAATGTATAGAAGGATGATTTTCATCACTTCATCACCCCTTGATAGACAATATTTTTTCATTGTTCTGTTGTTTCTTGAAAATTCGGCAAAATGCCAGAATCCCTTTCATTGGAGAGTACAGTACAGTACAGTATAATAATGTACAATGTGATTTATTATTGCTGTTTTTAATGTTGGTAATGTCCTGCTATGTGTATATTATCAATTGCACTTTACCATATGTATCTACACAAAAATCAAGCTATATATGGGGTCTGTGGGTGGTTCGCTATCATAGTTTCGGCCATCCGCAGTCGGTCTTGGAATGTGTCACATGCAGATACACTGTTCTAGAGAACATGACTACTGGCTGTGACCCGTTTGCTGCAGACTCTGTGAAATACAGAATGGACCTTCATTTTATGCCAATGAATCCTACAGTAAATCAATGCCTGCTGGAATTTTAAGGACAGAAGTAGGCAGGGATTCCAGGGAATCAGTGCAGAGCTCAGTCAAGCCCACGTACTCTGTGTCCATGAAGCCACACTGTCATACATGTGCATAGTGAGGTCTGGCATCGTCTTGCTGAAATAACCATGGACTTCCTGGGAAAGGAATATGCCTTGATGGCAGCATATGTCTTTCTGAAATCCCAATATACACCTTAAGATCAATGGTACCTTCACACATACTGTAGGCAAATTATTATAACTCAGCATTGTTCCTTATAGGACTGATGACTTCCTCCGTGAAAGAATAAAAAAAGGTTCAGCAAGCGTTTATATCAATAAAATATGTGTATGAATGTTTTAACAGGTGTGTTTTTATTAGTTATCATATAAAAAGTTCACATTTAGCTGGGCAGTATAACGGACATGTTCTATTAGATAATGTATATTTAGCTCAACAGTTTCATGTTTTATGG